TGAACTTACCTCAACAAAGTCAAGATGTAGTTATGCTATACCCTGACACCAGCCTCAGGGTTAGCATTTGTGCCATGGTAGAGTTTTAGGAGCAAGTCCATGTTCTAGTAAGTATAAGTCGCACCTGGACCAAAATTGCATGGATGATGCATTTAGGGGAATGGACACTACCAGACTTGCTTCGGATGCTGGATCTGACCCACATTTTCCAGATGAGTGACCAGGTTAAAGTTTTTGGAGCAGGTCCATTCCCAAGAAGCTGTAAGTCCTACCTGATCCAAACAAGCATGGATGATGCATCTAGGAATGGACACTACCAGACTTGCTTCGGATGCTTGATCTGACCTACTTTTTCCAGATGAGTGATGAAATTATTCCCAACTCAGCTCTACACTGACCAAACTTGCATGGATGATGCATCTAAAGATGGACATTTGAAACTTGCTTCGGATGCTGGATCTGACCTGCATTCTTCAAACGAGTGACCAGGTTCAAGTATTTGGAAAATGTCAATCCTCAATGAACTTTAAAACCTATTTAAACAGAATTTGCTTGAATATTGTTGTCAGGATAAATACTAACTGTTAAGGAAATATGATGTGAGATTTGCATTACTTAAACTGATAACATTCGTCGAGGTGAGCTTCATAATCTTTGATTATCTATGCTTTTAAGTGAAGTTTCATACTTCATGTGAAATGAGAGTGTCTCCCCTATGATGTGTCTGTTTTCTCTTTATAAGAGCAGAAGAAATTTGAGGCTGACCAGGATCCTGAAGTGAGGAGCAGTCCCTTTCCCATTTAACAGCATTCATGAGCAGAAAATGGGGTAAGATTCATACTTGACCTCTTTGTACCTTTTCCCAGTATTTTGGCTTTCCAATTGATGTTGGCTTTGTCAGGCTTTGACCTATTGATTTTGAATTGACAGGAAGCAGAAATGCTGAGACAGTTCAGAAGAAACATCAACAGAAGCCATAGCAATAGCAAAGGAAGCTTATATGGAGGTATTTTTGATTTTCTCCCTTCTTTCCCCTACCCCCTGGCCCCTGCTGACTCTAACATAACTAACCATCCACTTCCCTTTCCCCCTCATTCGTCTTCTTGAATTAACTGTCATTGTTTTCTGATTTTTCAACGAATTGTGTTGTACTGATTTTATTCACTTGAATTTTTGTGATTTGTTGCATTCTTTTGAAGTTTTACTAACATTGTGCCAGTTTTATACTTTCAGGGACTCGGAAGAGGAACAACGATGGAGGAGCAGGGTCGACCAACAGAGGAAGACGAGATGAAGAGTCCATTTCCCATCTCAATACAGCAGCCAACGTGGCCCAAAGTGGTAAGTAAGTTTTCGTGATTTGTTGCATTCTTTTGAAGTTTTACTAACATTGTGCCAGTTTTATACTTTCAGGGACTCGGAAGAGGAACAACGATGGAGGAGCAGGGTCGACCAACAGAGGAAGACGAGATGACGAGTCCATTTCCCATCTCTATATTTAAAAGAATGACCAACAGAGGAAGACGAGATGACGAGTCCATTTCCCATCTCTATACAGCAGCCAACATGGCCCAAAGTGGTAAGTAACTTTTCGTGATTTGTTGCATTCTTTTGAAGTTTTACTAACATTGTGCCAGTTTTATACTTTCAGGGACTCGGAAGAGGAACAACGATGGAGGAGCAAGGTCGACCAACAGAGGAAGACGAGATGACGAGTCCATTTCCCATCTCTATACAGCAGCCAACATGGTCCAAAGTGGTAAGTAAGTTTTCGTGATTTGTTGCATTCTTTTGAAGTTTTACTAACATTGTGCCAGTTTTATACTTTCAGGGATTCGGAAGAGGAACAACGATGGAGGAGCAGGGTCGACCAACAGAGGAAGACGAGATGACGAGTCCATTTCCCATCTCTATACAGCAGCCAACATGGCCCAAAGTGGTAAGTAACTTTTCGTGATTTGTTGCATTCTTTTGAAGTTTTACTAACATTGTGCCAGTTTTATACTTTCAGGGATTCGGAAGAGGAACAACGATGGAGGAGCAGGGTCGACCAACGGAGGAAGACGAGATGACGAGTCCATTTCCCATCTCTATACAGCAGCCAACATGGCCCAAAGTGGTAAGTAACTTTTCGTGATTTGTTGCATTCTTTTGAAGTTTTACTAACATTGTGCCAGTTTTATACTTCTAGGGACTCGGAAGAGGAACAACGATGGAGGAGCAGGGTCGACCAACAGAGGAAGACGAGATGACGAGTCCATTTCCCATCTCTATACAGCAGCCAACATGGCCCAAGTGGTAAGTAACTTTTTGTGATTTGTTGCATCTTTTGAAGTTTTACTAACATTGTGCCAGTTTTATACTTTCAGGGACTCGGAAGAGGAACAACGATGGAGGAGCAGGGTCGACCAACAGAGGAAGACGAGATGACGAGTCCATTTCCCATCTCTATACAGCAGCCAACATGGCCCAAAGTGGTAAGTAACTTTTCGTGATTTGTTGCATTCTTTTGAAGTTTTACTAACATTGTGCCAGTTTTATACTTTCAGGGACTCGGAAGAGGAACAACGATGGAGGAGCAGGGTTGACCAACTGGGGAAGACGAGATGACGAGTCCATTTCCCATCTCTATACAGCAGCCAACATGGCCCAAAGTGGTAAGTAACTTTTCGTGATTTGTTGCATTCTTTTGAAGTTTTACTAACATTGTGCCAGTTTTATACTTTCAGGGACTCGGAAGAGGAACAACGATGGAGGAACAGGGTCGACCAACAGGAAGACGAGATGACGAGTCCATTTCCCATCTCTATACAGCAGCCAACATGGCACAAAGTGGTAAGTAACTTTTCGTGATTTGTTGCATTCTTTTGAAGTTTTACTAACATTGTGCCAGTTTTATACTTTCAGGGACTCGGAAGAGGAACAACGATGGAGGAGCAGGGTCGACCAACAGAGGAAGACGAGATGACGAGTCCATTTCCCATCTCTATACAGCAGCCAACATGGCCCAAAGTGGTAAGTAACTTTTCGTGATTTGTTGCATTCTTTTGAAGTTTTACTAACATTGTGCCAGTTTTATACTTTCAGGGACTCGGAAGAGGAACAACGATGGAGGAGCAGGGTCGACCAACAGAGGAAGACGAGATGACGAGTCCATTTCCCATCCCTATACAGCAGCCAACATGGCCCAAAGTGGTAAGTAACTTTTCGTGATTTGTTGCATTCTTTTGAAGTTTTACTAACATTGTGCCAGTTTTATACTTTCAGGGACTCGGAAGAGGAACAACGATGGAGGAGCAGGGTCGACCAACAGAGGAAGACGAGATGACGAGTCCATTTCCCATCTCTATACAGCAGCCAACATGGCCCAAACTGGTAAGTAACTTTTGGTGATTTGTTGCATTCTTTTGAAGTTTTACTAACATTGTGCCAGTTTTATACTTTCAGGGACTCGGAAGAGGAACAACGATGGAGGAGCAGGGTCGACCAACAGAGGAAGACGAGATGACGAGTCCATTTCCCATCTCTATACAGCAGCCAACATGGCCCAAAGTGGTAAGTAACTTTTCGTGATTTGTTGCATTCTTTTGAAGTTTTACTAACATTGTGCCAGTTTTATACTTTCAGGGACTCGGAAGAGGAACAACGATGGAGGAGCAGGGTCGACCAACAGAGGAAGACGAGATGACGAGTCCATTTCCCATCTCTATACAGCAGCCAACATGGCCCAAAGTGGTAAGTAACTTTTCGTGATTTGTTGCATTCTTTTGAAGTTTTACTAACATTGTGCCAGTTTTATACTTTCAGGGACTCGGAAGAGGAACAACGATGGAGGAGCAGGGTCGACCAACAGAGGAAGACGAGATGACGAGTCCATTTCCCATCTCTATACAGCAGCCAACATGGCCCAAAGTGGTAAGTAACTTTTCGTGATTTGTTGCATTCTTTTGAAGTTTTACTAACATTGTGCCAGTTTTATACTTTCAGGGACTCGGAAGAGGAACAACGATGGAGGAGCAGGGTCGACCAACAGAGGAAGACGAGATGACGAGTCCATTTCCCATCTCTATACAGCAGCCAACATGGCCCAAAGTGGTAAGTAACTTTTCGTGATTTGTTGCATTCTTTTGAAGTTTTACTAACATTGTGCCAGTTTTATACTTTCAGGGACTCGGAAGAGGAACAACGATGGAGGAGCAGGGTCGACCAACAGAGGAAGACGAGATGACGAGTCCATTTCCCATCTCTATACAGCAGCCAACATGGCCCAAAGTGGTAAGTAACTTTTCGTGATTTGTTGCATTCTTTTGAAGTTTTACTAACATTGTGCCAGTTTTATACTTTCAGGGACTCGGAAGAGGAACAACGATGGAGGAGCAGGGTCGACCAACAGAGGAAGACGAGATGACGAGTCCATTTCCCATCTCTATACAGCAGCCAACATGGCCCAAAGTGGTAAGTAACTTTTCGTGATTTGTTGCATTCTTTTGAAGTTTTACTAACATTGTGCCAGTTTTATACTTTCAGGGACTCGGAAGAGGAACAACGATGGAGGAGCAAGGTCGACCAACAGCAAAAGACAGGATGACGAGTCCATTTCCCATCTCTATGCAGCAACCAATATGGCTCAAGGTTGTAAGTAACAAATTGATTATTTAAATGAAGTTTGTCATTTGTTAGGGAATGTGAGTGATTCTCCTTTGATGTGTTTGTTTTCTCTTTTTAAGCAGAAGAAATTTGAGGCTGACCAGGATCCTGAAGTGAAGAGCAGTCCCTCTCCCATTTAACAGCATTCATGAGCAGAAAGTGCGGTAAGATTCATACTTGACCTATGAGCACCTTTTCCCAATATTATGGCTTTCCAATTGATGTTGGCTTTTTCAGGCTTTGACCTCTTGAGTTTGAATTGACAGGAAGCAGAGATAGCCACCTCTGAAGGTCAGTCTGGAGTGTTTTCTGCTGCATTCAGAAAGTATGGGGTGTATAGTAGTTGTAAGTAGCGTTACAAAGGTGTTTCTTAGTCTTAGGTTTAGTTTGTATAGTATTTCCGGTAGGTGCAGTTGTGTTGTAGTTTGAGTTAGTAAGTAGGCTTTAGTTGATAGTTAGACAGCTTAGAGGAGTGTAGGTTATTATTGTAATTAAGGTATTTGTTAGTTAGTGCATGATTAGTGCTTGTGGTGGATAGGTTTGCATGATTAACACCCTAACAAGCAGGGTTCTCCATGAGCTGTTTTACTGTGTTGGTCCCGACACAGAAAAATGTTCTCCGACACAGTAAAGATTCAAATTTTATCTGTGCGACACATTAAAAATTTTGCTGACACAGTAAGATCTGTGATAATAAAAAAAAATTGAAACATACAAATTCTCTCTATCTGAAACATAATTGATCAAACAATTCTACCGTCTTTCAATTCTATACGATATCTAGATCACTTAATTATGCTTTCACCTTGCATAATCAATTATTTCCTAGACCCTCAATGGACTTGACGCATGAAGGAACAAAGACAAAAAATTGGATTTCAAACTTCCATGTAACGCTTAATTGGTACTAGTAGTTGCAATTAAAGTACATTGTATTATTTTTAAAAATATATTTAAATGTCTTTTCTTTAGAGCCATGGCTCTAGAATTATGTTTGCAATGTAAATCAAACATAACACTGTACCAAAATCATTTACTTGATGTAAATAAATAGTTTTCAATTTTCAAGGAACTTTTAAAAGTATTTTACTATTCCGAAGTCTCTTTTTTTGTAATTCCTTAATTCGATCAATAAAATTGACAAAAAAATTATGACAAATTTGCTTTAAAAAATTGTAAGTAGTTCAACTTTATAGACAAGAATTTCCTCTGCATTTCACAACATGTGCTAATATGTTCGACCATACTATTTTTGTAACGAATTGGTGATTTTTTTTTTTTTTTTAAATTGTGTGCATGTATTCTTAAGTAATTATAATGAATAGTGAGTCAGTTGCAAATTTGATCGCTAAAATACCGTGAAATTTTAGTGCTTTGCGTAAACTCTGCAACACAGTAAAATTTCAAACAATGGAGAACCCTGAACAAGTAACAAGCTACTAAAACTACTAACGTCTGCTAAATGTTGTGTGACGCGTCTAGTGTGTTGGTGTTAGTGTCTGTGTGCTTGTCACCTCTCGCTTTCAGCCATCACCGCTGGCTAGCAGCAATGCGAAAAGGGGGAAGAAATTCTAATGACTTCCCCTGCCAGTACATAGCCTCTCCACAACAAGTCCTATGCGATGCCTCCACGTGGAAGCAGACGGATACTGGGTATCATTTTGTCCCAGGCTAAGTTCGCAAGGACGCACGGGAAGATGAGTCTCAAAAGCATTGGTAAACATCTCATATAGGATCTCTCCTGATCACAAACCCAATTTAGTAGTAGAATCAATTGATATAAGTGCTGGTTTTTAAAAGAAGTGAACCTTTGTTCATTTTATGTCTTTGTCATCTTTTTAGCTCACCTGAGCCAAAGGCTAAAGTGAGCTTTTCTGATCACATTTTGTCCGTCGTCTGTCCGTCCGTCCATCTGTAAACTTTTCACATTTTCGACTTCTTCTCAAGAACCACTGGGCCAATTTTGACCAAACTTGGTACCAAGCATTCTTGAGTGAAGGGGAATTTAAATTGTTAAAATGAAGGGCCAAGTCCCCTCACAAGGGGAGATAATCAAGAAAAGACAAAACTAGGGTGGGGTCATTAAAAAATCTTCTCAAGAACCACTGGGCCAGAAAAGCTGAAACTTCTGTGGAAGCATCCTGGGGTAGTGTAGATTCTAAATTGTTCAAATCATGACCCCCGGCAGGTTGGGTGGGGCCACAATGGGGAATCAAATTTTTACATAGAAATATACAGGAAAAATCTTTGAAAATCTTCTGCTCAAGAACCACTGGGCCAGAAAAGCTGAAACTTGTGTGGAAGCATCCTGGGGTAGTGTAGATTCTAAATTGTTCAAATCATGACCACCGGGGGTAGGGCGGGGCCACAATGGGGAATCAAAGTTTTACATAGAAATATATAGGAAAAATCTTTGAAAATCTTCTTCTTAAGAACCACTGGGCCAGAAAAGCTGAAACTTATGTGGAAGCATCCTGGGGTAGTGTAGATTTCAAATTGTCTAAATTTTGATCAGTGGGGTAGGGTGGGGTCACAATATGTGTTACAAGGGGGAAATCTGGTAAAGAACAGAATGGTCAAAGCTTCTCAGGTGAGCGATGTGGCCCATGGGCCTCTTGTTTGTAAAATTTCACATTTTCATCTTTGGTCAAATTCAACGAAACTTGGCAAAGAGTATCCTTGGATAAATGCCATTATGGGATTTAAGTTTATTCAAATGAAGGCCCACTCCCTCTTCAAATGGAAGATTACTACAAATAAGAGAAAAATTAAGGACATCTTTTAAAAATCTTCTTTTCAAGAACCACTGAGACAGGAAAGAGACACTTATGTGGCATCATCCTCAGGTAGTGTAGATTCAAAATTAGTCAAATCAAGACCCCATGTTGGTGTCAGAATAGGGGATCAAAAATATATATAATACTGTAGATTCCTTATTTTTCGCGAGTAATTATCGCGAATAGGCTTTTCACCGTCAAATCACAAGAATAATAATTCGCAAATGCATGGTTGGTTAAGAGATTTTACATAGATTTCAGCGCCATAAAAATAAAGGCGAGTAATTTAATTTTGTGTGTGGTGCTTCTCACGAAATTACGCGAAAATTAATTCCACACACATATTTAGGAATCTACAGTATGTAGGGATATACTTTTTTTTTCTCAAGCCACAATTAGTTATATTGATAGCAAATCATCCTTTTTGGTAGTGAAGATTTCATTTTGTTCAAATCATGTCTACCGGGAAAAGGTTTGGGCCACATTGGACAATCAAAGTTTTACATTGGATTATATTGGAAATATTTTTAGAAATCTTCTCAGAAACAAATATGTCATGACTGGTGATATGTATACGGTAGCATCTTCATGTAGTGTAGATTTAAGTTTGTTCAAATCATGACTCCCAGGTGTAGGGCAGGGCCCCAATGGTGGATCAAAATGGACAGGGGAATACTGTAAATCACTTTTTATTCGCGAGAACTTTATTTTCACATTATTACGCGAGACGGTATGGTCGCGAAAATTTGATTCTCGCGTATAATATAATTCCTTAAGATTATATAGAGCAATGACCACAATTTTGAAAATTTTGTCTCGCTAATGAAGAGTCATTGACTATCTCGCGAAAATAAGGTGTCGCGAAAATTAAGTGATTTACAGTATATAGGAAACGTCTTCTCAATAATACCAAAGCCATATATAGTCATATTGATATGGAAGCATCCTTAGGTAGTGTAGATTCAAATTTGTCCAAATCTTGATTCCAGGGGGCAGGGAGGGGCATCAATGGGGATAAAATTTTAACAAAGGAATATATAGGAAAAAATTTTATGTTCAAGAACAGCTAAGCCATTGTTATTGATATGAAAATGTCTCCAGGTAGTTATTCAAGCCCCCTTCTCCTCTTCCTAAATTTTATACTTTTCAATACTGGACTAATTTGTCATTTACTAGCCAATATGCTTAGGTGAGCATATTGCCCATTGGCCACTAGTTTATTTTAGAAATCTTCTCACTTGGTATGAAGTGCAAGTGATCCCCTTTTGGTGTCTGTTAATTTTTATCTTTTTAAGAGGAATACTTTTAAGGCTGAACAGGATCCTGAAGTGAGGAGGACTCCCTCTCTCATTGAACTGCATACAGCAGCAGAAAGCAGGGTAAGATTCAGATTTTACTTCTTGTATCTTTGCTTGCCTATTGATGTTGGCTGTACCAAGCTTTAACATCTGGACCTTCAATTGACAGATTTCAGTTCCCCTTTGATTCAGAAGAGGAACAACAATGGAGGACCAAGGTCATTAATATAAGAAGAGTCTATTCCTGTCTGTGTTTTGCAGGTATTATGTTTCAAAAGTGGTAAGCAACAAGCTGCTTTTTACTGAAGCTTCTCACTTGGTATGAAGTGCAAGTGTTTCCCCTTTTATGTCTCTGTTTTATCTTTTTAAGCAGAAGAAAGTTAAGACTGACCAGGAATTCTAAGTGAGGAAGAGTCCCTTTCCCATTCCGCTGCAGCCATGAGGAGAATACTCGTAAGAATCAGACTTTACTTCTTTTTTACCTATGGAACTTCATCATGACCCACTTTAACAGGCAGGAGTCTTACAAGTATTTTTTATTTAATTATTTCTGACATATCTTTGTCCTCCCTACTCTAAAGTAACTATGCTTTCCTCTCCTTGCCCCAATATTCCACCTTATTCCTAGCTATCATAACCTTATTGTCTTTATTTGCTTTTTGATTTTCAAGCTAATAATGTTGTAATGATTATGTTCATTTGAATTTCTGTGATTATTACATTGCTTTGTATTATTGCTTATCTTCTCTCCATCAAGTATTTTCAAGGAATTTGACAAGGGAAGAGGACCAGTGCTGACCAAGTGAAGAAAAAGAAGAGTCTATTGCCAAGCTTTGTACAGCAGCCAATATCTGATTAAGGAGTGGGTAAAAAGATTTATTTTTTGCAATTTACAAATTTTCTTTATACACTTATCAAATCATAGGTCCAGGGGGATTTACTTCTGCTGCACAACAGCAAGACTGTGTTGCAATAACAATAGGGCATCCCGAGGATGTGTTGTTTCAAATTACGTTACATCATGATCCCTTTGGACTAGGATTAGTAAAAAAAAATATGAATTAAGAATTTTTCTTTTGATGACAAAGTCAAGGTGACTCAGGTGAACATTTTGGCACAAGGTATTTTTGTTCATGTTTTTTTCATTATCTTTGGATTTCCTTTGTTAACAAGTAGAAGATGAGACTGATCTCAATCAGTTAACAAGAATGTGGAAAGTAAGGACTTACTACTGTCTAACCTAAACATTGATGGTTAGTCAGATCAGATGCATGTAAAGCTCTAGACCTTGCATTATGTGAATTAGAGGAGATTTTGACTCTCATTGCTTGGATTCTTAGTGTCTTTTTGTTAATAGGCAGACGGTTATGCTGGCATTGATCCTGTTTCCAAAAGCAGATCAACATGATTCCTCAAGACTCCAAAGAGATCAACTATGGGACCTGAAAATAAAGGTAAGACACATGTACAAGCTCTGCAAAATCCTTCTATTCTGTAAAAATATGTTAGCTATTTTTCATTTATTAAGATTTTATTAATATTTATGTTGAGTCCTTGTGATTTCTTTTTTTACAGGCAGACTGCCATCAATTTCATGTTTCTTTGATAGCAGACAAATATGCTTCAACAATAGTGCAGAGAGTAATTTAAGGTTTGGACTGCAAGTGATGGACACACTAAATAACTCAACTCAAAGAATTCAATGGATAGTGCTGAGTACATTATTATATATCTGATGGGCACACTAAATAGCTTAACTGACAATGCTGAGAACATTGTTATATATCTACAAAGTGATGGACACACTAAATTTCAATGGACAATCTACAAAGTGATGGACACACTAAATAGCTTAACTCACAGAATCCAATGGACAGTGCTGAGTACATTGATTATATATCTACAAAGTGATGGGCACACTAAATAGCTTAACTGACATAATTCAGAATTTGTTATATATCTACACAAGTGATGGACACACTAAATAGCTTAACTGACAGAATTCAATGGACATGTGCTTAGATTTTAAATTATTTTGTTTTAAGATAAAGATTGTGAACTTATATAGGCAATTATTCAAATTATTGTTGGACAAAATGTGGAATTTTTCCAAAAAATAGCTTAACTATTTAAAAAATCAGAATGGAACATTTTGGTCTGTACATGTGGATAGACCAGTAAAATGGACAGTGTTACTGAGTTCTGTTAAACCATGTACATTGTTAATATCTACAAAGTGATGGACACAGATCTTTTTTCCTCCGGCATGTAATATTTTTTATATAACAAGTGCATAAATGCAGCTTAATAGACTCTCACAATATTCAGTGTAAAAATGCTGAGACAGTATAAACACTTGTTATTTCATATTCTACAAGTGTCTGATATTTCACAGTAGAACTTGCAAAGATTTTTGATAGAGATTTGTAAATGTGATAATTCTGACATAATATCACTTAAGGATAACTTTTAAACATGGGATTTGAATTTTTTTTTTGTACAGCAACACACTGATGTACAACACACCTAAAAGTTGTTTTCGATACTACATTATTGTTACAATTGTTTACTTTTCATGTACCATGCTGAGTACATAACTTATTAAGTAAGCATGATAACTCAATCCACAGCAGATCACTCAAAGTTGTGATACTACATTATTGTACAACTTTTCATATACTACGTTATTTTTTCTGAATGTTTTTTTTTTTGTATCTGTATATTATATTTTTTAATTTAAAAAAGTTAAAGATTGGATTTTTAAGCAAAAATATCAAGAGAGGTAAATCAGTGCTTGTCTGAATATCTAAGCTTAAGAGAAAGGGAGGTAATTTTTTTTTATTGTGAATCCTTGTCCAGAGCATATGCTTTCTCCCCTTGGTCCAATGTGGCTAATACTTCTCTCACAGAGTGCCACTGGTCAATGGATGTGTAGTGACCTTGAACAAAGTTTCTAGGCCAAGAGTCAAGGTTAAAACCCCTTTCAGCTACTTTACATTTTTATGTTCATTGCTGAAAGTGGGACCCTTTGAGATGGCCACCATCTCAATGATATCTAATTTTAGTTTGAAAATTGCTAGAAAAGATAAAGTGATCTCATTGTAACATTATTATTTTTTAGTGTTTTAGATTATAAATAAATATAACAATATGCAAAATCTAAATTCTTTTATATTTTCTCTCCTTTGATTTACATAGCAGGCCTTGCAGTTTTTAGCTCATATGAGATTTTCTGATCACCTGTTGTCCGTCGTCCATCCGTCTGACTGTCCATTCATCTGTAAACTTTTCACATTTTCAGCTTATTCTTGAGAACCATTGGGCCAATTTTGACCAAACTTAGTACAAAACATCCTTGGGTAGTGGGAGTTTAAATTATAAAAATAAAGTCCCCTTCCGAGGGGAAATTGTCAAGAATATACAAAAATAGGGTGGGGTCATAAAAAAATCTTCTCAAGAACCACTGGGCCAGAAAAGCTAAAACTTCTGTGGAAGCATCCTGGGGTAGTGTTACTAGTGTAGATTCTAAATTGCTTGGATCATGACCCCTGGGGATTGGGAAAGGTCAAGATAGGTATTAGGGGGAAATCTGTTTAATAACATAATGGCCAAAGTTACTCAGGTGAGTGATGTGGCCCATGGGCTTCTTGCTTATCTAATTTAGTTTTATCTTTGTATGCAACACTTTTTCCTTCTTTTAGTTGTTACTGAGGTTCTAAGTAATTTAAGTTTTTTTATGAAATATTTTTCCTTGTCAAGTTCTATAAGCATGTTCTACTTCATACACAAGTAGTATATGAAGATTTTCTAGATGTTTCATATTTTTTCAATTTTTCTTGAAAAGCATAACTGATGTACATGTAATTGTAAAAACTGTGTTTGTCCCTTGTGATACATGATTAATTTATGTCAGTTTGAATTTATCATATATATTAAAATACACTATTATACAGTCTGTTTGTCATGGAATTAAACTTGTTGAGTTTTTATTCCACCTCTATAATTGAAGATTTGGGGGCATATTTTGATAAACTGTCTGTCTGTTTATGTGTCTCCAAATTTACTAATTTTTACTACCCATGGCCATTCCTTTTGAACTTTTTTTAACCTTTAAGTTAGACTTTGACCTACTTTGGTAAAAAAAAATGATGTGAATGATTAGTGCTAGGGCTTTCATATTTCAAATGTGTATTCCTTGTAATGAAACTTCTCTTTTTACCCCAAACAAAGGAAGTTTTAGGGATATATAGGAATCACATTGTCTGTGAATGTAATTTTGTCTAGGCTCTAACTTTGATATATGGAAACATTGGAAGCTTATACTTGTTATAGAGCTTGCTTGTAATGACCCGACAGTGAGTCCTGATCTGACACAAGGTCATTCCTGCAAGTTCAAGGTCACTGGCCTAAAAGTATGAAATTTTTGTCTGGGTCATAACTTTGTAGAAAGAATCACTGGAAGCTCAAACCTGGTACAGGGATTGCTTATGACCCAAAAATGTGTCATGATCTTATCCAGTCATTCCATTTAGTTCAAGGTTACTAGTAGAAAAAAGGTATGACATAACTTGACTTTGTAATGGAGAGTCAGTGGAAGCTCATACTCGGTACAGATATTGCTTATGATCAAAGAATATGCCTTGACCTTTATCCAAGGTCATTTTGGCGATTTCAAGGTCACTGGTAGAAAAAAGAAAAAAAATGTCTCGGCTAAAACTTTATTTGGAAAAGAATTGGTACAGGTATTGTTTTTGAAATAAGGAAAGTTCTTATTTTAATCCAGTGTCAATGCAGCAAGTTCAAAGTTACAGGCAGAATAGTGTAAAATTATTTTTTTAAGACTTTAACTTAACAATGTAGAAATACTAGGAGCTCGTACTTGATACAAAGATTGCTCATTGGAACCTGATACAGGTACTGTTTATGAACCTAAGGAGTGTCATGACTTTAATTCGAAGTCAAATAGCAAGTGAAAGGTTGGTGGTATAAGAATTAAAAATTATGACAAGCCTTTATTATCTGATGGAGAAATATCTGTACGTATGCACGATGATTCACTTAAAGTTTACTAATGATCAAAGTATATGTGAATTTTGACTAGTCTCAGTCTTTTTGGCAAGAAATTGAAATGAAATGGCAAATTGAAAAAAAAAATTCATTTTGGACCAATCCCGATCAAAATAAAACCATAATGAATAAAATAACAATTTATTGCCTTCTTTATTGTCCCCCGCTTTAGCGAAAGCGAGGGGACATTAAATCTCATTCGTCTGTCCGTCCGTCACAAAAACTTTAACCTTGCCCATTATTTTTGATTTAGTGGAGCTATGACTTTCATATTTCACTTGTGTGTCCCTTGTGAGAAGACCTTTCTTTGGGTACCACCATATTTGACCTTTTGACCTAGACCTTGGAGTTTGACCCACTTTTACACAAAAAATCCAAACTTTTACTTTGGCCATATCTTTTGAATAGTAGAAACTAGGAATTTCATATTTCACATATGCATTTTTTGTGTCAAGGCCTTTCATTGGATACCAACAATTTTGACCTTTTAACCTTGACCTTAGAGACCTATGAAAAAACTTTTACCTTGACCATAACTTTTGAACGGAAAGGGCTAGGGCTATCGTACTTCACATATGTAATCCTTGTGAAAAGACCTTTCATTGGATACCAAGAACTTTGACCCTTTGACCTTGACCATGGAGATTGACCTAATTTTCAAAAACTTTGACCATGGCCACAACTTTTGAACGGTAGATACTACATGTAGGACTTCATATTTTTGCACATATGTATTTTTTGTCGCAAGACCTTTCATTGGATACCAACAACTTTGACCTTTTGACCTTGGAGATTTCCGTACTTATGAAAAAACTTTAACCTTGACCATATCTTTTGAATGGTAGAAACTAGGACTTACATATTTCACATATGTATTTTTTGTGGCAAGGCCTTTCATTGGATACCAACCATTCTGACATTTTGACTTTGACCTTGGAGATTTCCGTACTTTTGAAAAAAAAAGTTTAACCTTGACCATAACATTTGAACGGTAAGGGCTAAGGCTTTCGTACTTCACATATGTAATCCTTATGAGAAGACCTTTCATTGGATACCAAGAACTTTGACCCTTTGACCTTGACCTTGGAGATTGACTTACTTTTCCAAAACTTTTACCTTGGCCATAACTATTGAACGGTTAAGGTTAGGGTTTTCATCCTTCACATATGTATTACTTGTGACCTTTTTAAAGAAATCAACAACTCAGATCCTTTCACCTTGGAGTTTGACCTACCTTTCAAAAATGTATCCTTGGCCATAACTTTCTTTTGAACAGGGGGGTGGGATTTTGTATTTCACAATCGTATTTCTTGTCTGAAAACCCTACTTTGGGTAATATCAAATATATTTCATTTGAATTAAGAAATGTTAAATCTTTGTTATGTTGCCATACGAGGTCATCTGTGTTTCACAAACACATCTTGTTCCTTATATTGAGAAGAGATAGGACTTTCATATTTGACATGTGCATTACCTGTGACAAGATATTTCCGAGCATGCTATGAATTCTTACCCCTTGACCTTGACCTTCACAATTGACCTTATTTTTTTTTAAAAATCAAATTAAGTGATAATTTCTAAATAAATGACATAATTGATAGGGTGTTCATATTAGACACGTACAATGTGTCATAAAAATTGACATCTCATCCACAAAGACACCGAAAGCGGGGGACCACAATTCTTTGAATTTCCTTGTTTTTTTTAATGTTTACTTATTATTTACTATTTCTTTTTATTTTTCATAGATTTTTCATTATTACACACAAACTTTAAAATATAGTTTTTATATTTTCAGAAAATATATTTTTGATTTCATCCTCATGAAAATATAATTTGAATTTTTACTAATTTGTTTGTTTCTGTGTTTATTTTTTCATAGATTTTTTATTAAACCACCCGGTCGTTTACCACTCTCAGGAACCATGTTTACCTGCACCTCTTAAAAAAAATAAGAGGGTGTAAAAAAGAACAGCGAGGGTCAAGGTTGTTGTGACGTTAACATTTATCTTTGTAAACTTATCTTTATGTAAGTTTATTTATTGAGAACTTTTAGAAAAATACACAACATATGAATATAATTTAAATAGTTTGTAGGGGTAGAATAATCTACATTTATTCGGCATGTTGTTAAAAAGATGTGTAAACAAAGATCTGATATGGATAATTTGAAAAGAACAGGTCTGGTACAATCACTAGATTTAGCTACGTAGCTTGATTTACCTACTTAGCTTTCTTTACCTACCTGAGGTAGCTTTATTTAGCTACCAAATCAATTTATTTCTATAAAAAAGCATTTTTCTCAGGATGTGCAAAAAATCTCATTTTGATGTAGTGATCATTTTCAACTTTGAACTCATCTGAAAACAATTCATGAAAAAATCACTCTTGAAGAAATGTTTTTTTCTGCGCTATTCCAATCAAAGTTCTGAAAGTTTTGGGGCTATGTATGACAGTTAGAACAGTTACTACTTGAATGAAATCACAAAGAAGTCCAGTTCTGGTTAACATGATAATATTAATAGGTCGGTAATTATTCAGCACAATGTGAAGTAATCATACTCAGCCATGCCTCACCGCACACAATAGAAAGGACAGTTATCCAAACAATGGAATTTCATGTTTTGCTCTAAATTGTCCAAACACAGCAATGTATAAACTATCTCTGCTTTGAAGTGTTTTTTAAAACCTCCCTAGTATAAATATAAATATTAAAAGTCATTTAATTGCAACTTTTTGTCTCTTTCTAATAAAGAGAAAAAATTTGAAAAGTTGCATTGAAATAGCTAAATAAAGCTACCTGAGGTAGGTAAATAAAGCTACGTAGGTATTTCTACCTACATAGCTAAATCTAGTGATTGTACTGGACCTGAAGAAGAAACAGAAGTAATGTAATTCTGTATTAACTTAATATATAGCATATGATGACATTATCACTTCCTGACCTTACAAGATAATGTAGTTAGAATATTATCTGTGTCTCTTGGGGCAGACCCATCTAGTTATTGGGGTGCAAAAACACAAAATTCATGAAAGATAGTTAGAATAATCAAACTAAAGTTAGCATAGTTTAAATTTTTCTCTGTATAAACTCGTACCACAGTTAGAATATGTCCCATATAATTGCAATGTAGCAAATTAGAGTGGAGCCAAAAATATTTGAACATTGGGAGATGCATAAAAAAAAACAAACAAATAAACGATAACAAAATTTGTTTGATATTGTGAATGTTTTTAAACCTAAAAAGTATTCCAGAAAAAAGGTGAAAATTCAGTTTATTTTCATACAGTGTTATCTCATTTTGAATTTTTTTCCCATGTAATTGTTCGTCATAAAAGCTCTAAGAGTTATCGCTTGTGTATATGTTTTTGAGAACTTTCTTTATTCATCAACAGTTATTTCAATACTGGTCAAGCTGGTAACACATAATGTAGCATAAGTTTAAAAAATTAGTACATGTTTTGTATGGTGTTTCATTAGGTTCCGGTGAACTGAAGTGCCGATGTTCTCCTTGCCATCCCAATGCGGTGAATGACACATGCATCGCCAAGTTTCAGTGCTTTACAGGACTAAGGAAGGTGGTAGAGAATGGAGAAACAATAGAAATCATAAGTATGGGGTGCATGTCAGAGGAGGAAAACAGCATACTCCAGGTAAACTAAAACTTATAGTGTTAGTGAGAATTTATGAGAGTATTAAAGTCTCATGTCATTGCAAAACAAGATTTTAAAATCATAATTATGTTTCTTTGGTGCTATATGTATTATTGATCTCCTAAATGCAATGTAGGAACAACACATACATGACATCATAATCATATAGTCTGTACCAGTCTTGGTGAGAAAAAAAAATGTTTGTTTTGTCGTTATAAACTTTTTAATGCATTGACTTCTTGATGTGTAAGTTTTTACTCAAGAATAACTTGGAATGTGGAAATAATCTGTCTCCTATTTTTGAAAAAGGGAGCCATGAACAGCTTAAAAAGAAATTAATTAAGAAACCATTAAATTAAAACTTTTTGAAACTAATTATGATTGTTTGGTTATATTTACAGTGTAAAGGCCATCTTGTTCCTCACCGAATTCCCCGGACTGTGGAGTGCTGTAATGATGAAGATTACTGTAATGAATACCTGGACCCTTTCTATGTAGAACATAACAACACACAGAAAGGAGGTAAGAAAGTTAAAAAAAAAGGTCTGAAATGCTATTGACTTTTATGATGTGGATGAGATAATGTACTATAAACCAACTTTTATTCGTGTTTGAGAAATTTTTTTGATGTTCGTAAGCCTCAGCATTGCAAATATTTCTCGCCGCTAACTGATCCTTAAAGTGTCTGTGTCTAATAAAAACAGATCCAAAATGGGCTTGTGCGCAAAAATTAATCATCACGAACTACTTTATTCCTGGTAAATCACGAAATAAAGTCATCACAAATAAAAATTGGTTTACAATACTGTAAACCAACTTTTATTCGCGTGCGAGAAATTTTCGCGAAGTTCACGAGAGCTTCGTCATCGTGAATATTTCTCGCCGCGAACCAGTCCTTATAGTATATTTGTCTATCCAAAAAAAATGCTAAAAGGCTTGATGGCAAAAATTAATCGTCGCGAACTAGTTTATCCCTGATAAATTACGAAATAAAGTCGTCGCGAATAAAAGCTGGTTTACAGTATAAAGTCATAAAAATAGAAAACAAATGTCTATTCAGTTTGTTGCCAACTATGTACTAAAATACAGTGGATTGATCAGTTTGAGACATAGTTGAGCTTTACCAAAGATGTCTGTGAGATTAGTCAACCAAATATACTTCTATTGATGGTCAATAACAAACTTAAACAGTAATGGTGGAGATACATAATGTACCATGTTCTGTTTGTTACATCAATACATGAGTGATGGAATTGTAATTCAAAAACATTTTAATGCTTTTCCAACAATTTATATGTGCAAAGTACTGTAAACATTAAAGTTGATGCTTTAAAAAACTCACATTTACATTTGGACAGTTTGTAAATCTGTTTTTGCTGAGGTTGATATTGAAAATTGTACACTGTTTACTCTGTAGTGACGGATGGACAAGACGATGTGATAAACCTGACACAGTTGGTCCTGATTGTCTCTGTAACCTGCTGTTTCCTCATATTTGTACTCATCGTCTCCCTACTGTATCTGAGGTGAGTATACAAATCAAATTAAAATTTCAAAAAAAACTAGACAGAGCTTAATTTCTTACAGACTTTTTACAAAAGAGATTTATTTTGCTTGATATTAAGGAAGATGCCCTGTTACCTTTCCTGAAAACAATTTAAATTTTATATTCAAAGATTATGAAAATGGAATAAGAACAAAAGAGTTAGTTTTATGCATTCTGTGTATGAAGAAATCTATTAAATCTGTTTTCATTTCTCTGAGAACGTCATTGATTTTACAGACATAAAAGGCGAGACGTGAAGAAGGAGCCATTCATGGGCGACCATGAGGAACATAGTGATTCCTTCATGTGTGACTCAACTAAAGGCCTGATTGACCAGTCCTCTGGGTGTGGATCTGGACCCCCCACTCTGGTACGTTTAAGGGTGGAAATCAATGAAATTTAATATCACAGACAGCTCTAAATCATTTTATTTTTCTCAGACAGGGAAATATGTAGGAATAAAAAAATTCTTCAATTTGGAGTTTAAAATATTTTGTGCAAGAAATTCTTTTTGTTCACTTGCAGACTACTTAAAAAAAATTAAAAGAATGAATAAAATAAATTCTGATTTAAAATTGACAGTGGGAAATAATTTTTACTAATTATACATTGTTTCAGTTCTGAAGTTACACTCTATATTCATTGTTTATGTAGGTCCAGAGGACAATAGCCAGAAACATACATTTGGTTAAGAGCCTGGGTAAAGGGAGGTTTGGGGAGGTCTGGAAAGGATACTGGAGGCAGGAAGAGGTGGCCGTCAAAATCTTCTTCACCACAGAGGAGAGTACATGGGCCAGAGAGACGGAGCTGTATCAGTCCGTGTTACTGAGGCATGATGGGATACTCGGTAAGTTATATTCTTGATTAGATACTAGAGAAAGATGGGTAACAGGCTTATAGATATTTTTTCATCCCTGACATAAGAAAATATGGGTGGTTTACTAGATGCAAATTCAGCCAATGTGTATGCTTATTCTGTTCCTGGAAACAAAAAAGTAAGAGTTGTCTTTTGTTGTCCAAAGACTGAGACGCAAAAATAAAATAATTGTCTCTTGTTGTTACAGGTTACATTGCATCCGACATAAAGGGAACTGGGTCATGGACTCAGCTATTCCTGATCACAGATTACCACGAGTACGGGTCGCTATACGACTACCTACAGACACACGTCCTGGACGTGGAAGATATGCTCAAAATGGCACACACTGCTGCCTGTGGTCTGGGTCACCTACATTCTGAAATATTCGGAACAAAGGGTAAGCATATGAATACAATGAAGCGCATTGAAGTGGTAAAATTCTCCGTTTGGATGAAAAGTTCTGAGTCATGTTTTGAAGGTCAATTATAACATAATGACACGCCCATATTTTTAAAAAAAAGTAATATTCGTCGTAGTTTTAGGACACCCATTCTTCGCGACAAGCATCATGAGTTACACTGAAATGGAGCTTTAAAAAAATTAGAAGAGAGAGTTAGGACTCAGCTGTGTCACAAATTGCAACGAATATGTACATATTTTTGAACTTATCATGTCTATTGAAGTTACCACAACACATGTTTCGGTCGAACACGTGTTTACTTGGTGTATATTTAGATCCTCAATTTGATTGGCTATTATATTTATGGAAAACCTGTTCTACAGGTATTTGAAGAAACAACTTGACCGTTTTATCAATTTCTAAAGAAATGGGCGTGTCATAAGATGACAATAAACACTCTAAATATAGCTCAAAACGTTCCATTCGAACGGAAAATTTTACCACTTCAATGCGCTTCATTGTACAAAGTATTTGAAGAATTTATGTGGAAATTGAGACATTAAATACTTTGTCTTTGGTAAAAAAAATTCTATTGTCAGTAAATAAAATTTCGAGAAAATCTTGCTGAAAATAGTGTTGAACTATGATGAATCTAACATCACATCTACGTTTTCATAGGTAAACCAGCAATGGCCCACAGGGACATCAAACCTAGAAATATTTTGGTGAAGGCAGATGGAAGCTGTTGTATAGCTGACCTAGGACTGGCTGTTAGATATATCAGGTTTGGAAATATTTCTTTGTGATGATTTTTTTTTTCAATTCCAAATATGACAAAAAAACAAAGATAAAAATCTTATTTTGTTTAGCATCCTTTTAAAAAAAAAAAAACATAAACTTTGCACTTATGCAGTTAACACTCTGATTGTCAAAACTGACAGTATTTAATAAAATGTGAGGCCAGTGAGAGGGGAGAAAACTTTCACTATACATTTGTATATCACAATGTTTTAGAAAAAATTACTAAGGGTACAGGTCATCTGATTGAAATTTCTTGCTTGAATTTAAAAAAAAAATTATTACTAACACAGCTTTGTTTAGGCATCTGTTAAATATATTGAAAATTTATATGGACACATATAATGTTATATTTACAGTGAGTCCAATGAGGTTGACCTGCCTTCATCCTCCAGACAAGGAACCAAGCGTTACATGGCACCCGAATTACTGGACAACTCGGTCCGCAGAGAGCACTTTGATGCCTACAAACAAGGAGATATTTATGCCTTTGGATTGGTGTTATGGGAAATAGCAAGAAGATGCATATCTAATGGTATTAATCCTTAGTTTAAAGAATCAAACATGTTTTTTACCTGTTTAATATGATTGAATTAAGGCTCATGAAGTTATTCCTGTAGAGACATGCAAAAATTCTTGCCAATAACTTGGAAAGTTTAATTAGTTACTGTATTATATAGATGATATGGCACAGTTTAACCCATGAATAAATGCAAAGCTTACCCTCATGAAAATAATTTCACATTTAGATTTTTAAGGATTTGAAGGACTTTTATATTGGCATTCATTATATTTTACATTTTCTATGACATTAATGAAAAACATTTCAGAAGAACAATTTTTATTCCCTGATCTGATTTTTGTGTTATTTTCCATTAGGTATAGCTGATGATTATCAGCCCCCGTATTTTGAGACTATTCCTGCCGACTGTGACCCTAGTTATGAGGAACTGAAGAAAGTTGTGTGTGTGGAAAAAATGAGGCCAGGATTTCCCAATAGATGGTCCTCTAATGAGGTAAACACTTCATTACTGTAATCAATTTTTTTCCTGGAGAAAATCAAAACTCAATGTTTCAAAATTCTACCTTTCTTGCTAGTTTTGAATGAAGGTTTATAAATTAAAAGTTCGCCAATATCAAAAAAAAATTTCATGTTCATTTCAAGTACTTGTAACAATATATGTATAATATTTTCCCCCCTTCATTTCAGTATTTAAAGATGATGGCCCGCTTGATGAGGGAGTGCTGGAGTCACAACCCAGGGGCGAGGCTGACTGCCCTGCGCGTGAAAAAGACACTGGGAGGGATGATCCTCCAGCTGAACAAAAGTGTCAAGTTAGACGAGGCGGAAAAAATCACAGAAGTTACAAACATGATCAAAAATAGTGAGTGATGTTGGCATCAAGAAATAAGAACGTCCATGGTTGTCAAGGTGATCTGATGCTGATAAAGCAACCCTTGTTTGCCGGAGAAAAAAAGGCAACATTCTACAAGTGTACGGTGCCCTTTGTTGAAATCCATTGAAAAAAGGGATGAATTTTCTGTGCCATTTATTTGTAAGTGCAGAAGCTAATGCAGCAGTTATCCGGTTTTGAATTGTTGTGAGCAAATATAATTTGCTGTTTGTTTGTTTTGGCAGTCTCTTTCATTTTAGAACAGCTTTGTGACATTTAAGTTACACCATATTGATTGACTTCTAATATTTTTGTAACCATCTTTGTGATATGGCCAGTCTTGCTAACTTTAGTGGTGCTTAAAAGTAGTGAATGCTAGATTTGTAATTTTCATTTTTTAAAAAACAAAATGTTGTTTTTATTAAATGAAAGTGAATGCTTTATAGAAAGTGTACCTCTTAATAGTATTTTAAAAGTTTAAGATACAGAAAATTCATGATGTGTGAATGTATATTCATTGGTGTGTATTTATATTGTATGACTGAGGTCATTATTTTCAAAACACATCTGTACTGCACTATATGTTTTTTTTTCTTCAAACTTGACTGCTTCATTGAAAACTTGCTTGAGAATTTTGTTTTGCATTCCCTTACAACAATGGGCAGCAATTAGTCAGGAGACACCACATCACATTTATCACTGGTGTGGCCTGATAATTATTGTAGATTTATCATATCCACAGAAAACTACAAACTATCGTGGACAGAGGCACCAATTCATTGATGAAATACTCCTGTGTTGAAAATGTGCTGTTATAATGTGCTTGCACAGGTTATTAGTTCAATGGATTATACAGATCATTTTTAAAGCACCAGGTAACACAGACTTTTGTTTTAAGATCGCAAAATTTATGCAGAAATTAAGAAATAATTTCTAGTCACTTAGCCTTTATTTAGAAATCGTGATGTCAAGTTAAAATTATTTTTTTCCTCCCTTCTTACTATTCTGAGATATGAGGAAGAAAGAAAGTATTGTGAACAGATGCATGTGATCTTGTTACTATTTTGAACAAATTTGTGGTTGTGTTTCATATGTTTGTAAAATATTTTCACTTTATATATTTGTATATTCGTTCAAAAATGGAGTGATGTTTTTTATTATGTTTACCATAGTCACCTTTACATAAATTTGTCCTGATGTTTCCCACATACATGTTATTAAAACTTTTTATGATATATTGATTCAGAAATAAATTTAATTGTTAAGGATACTCTTCAAGATCATTTATAAACATTTACAAATTTTTATTGACTTAAAATGGCATCTGCAATATCTTAATGAAATCTCTCTTTTATGGTACATATACTATGAAGTATTATATCAAAACATGAAAAATGAAAAGTGGAAGTTTCACAAATTCCTTTTTTTTTCCCCCATGCATGAAATAATACAATGATGAAATTTTTTTTCAATTTTCACACTATGAAATTTGATGGTTTTGTATAATTTTATTACAGTTTAGATATTGCATGATTCCAATACTTCACTTTTCAGACTTAACAGACGTTTCTTTTTTTTTATTATTATTTGATTCCAGTATTAAGGCCATGCAAAATTAATTCCTTGGTTCTCAGGCCTTTTTTCAAGAAATATGATGAGGGAGGGAGGCATTTTTTTTTAACTTTTTATTGCCCCCAAAACATGATGAGGCAGCTTTTTACATTGTATACAAAGCCTTTTTTTGTTGTTTTTATTTTATTGATTTAGCAATATAAAGGGTCAATGAGGCGCCCTTGGAAGAGATGAGGGAGGGCCTGAGAACCAAGAAATTATTTTTTTTTTGCCTAAGCTACAACTTTTATTCTTGAAGAATAGCTTAGATATCAAGGTCTACTCCATCCCAGTACCCATTCACAACCTTTTTTTCCTAAATTTATTCAAAACCTTAAGATTTTAACTTTTTTTTAATTTGAGAAGGGAGATGTCAGTATTTTGTTGAAAATCAAAATTTTTCATTTAATTTTTTTGTACATTTGAATTACCGGGTATTTTTCTCTCTTCAATTTCCTTGTTTATACATTCTCATCATACCATTTTTACCCATTAACAAAAGAGCTGAAAATGTGCAAAGCACATCTGTAATTTAATAGATCTTATGTATGTGTTTATATTTCATGTATTAAAACTGTTTTGCATGATCTGATAAATTAATTATAACAAAAAAATTATATTCCTTTGTCTTTTATAACTTGTACATTGTATATACATGTGAATATATTTCAAAGGAATTTGCATCAAACTTACATATCTTTTGAAACAACCAATTGTTTTGTGTTGTATCTGTAAATTATCTATAAGTGCTTTATTAGAATATTTTTTGTTTTGTAAATTAGAGTTAGATTTTATTGTTACAATTTTATGTCTATCATTAGTATATAGTATACGTTTTATACTATAATTACCTCACTTGAGCCATGGTTCAATAACTTTTTAATTATTAATGACCTGAAAACTTAATGAACTTGCAAGAGTATTTTTGTATGTATAAGAATTAACAAGTTCTTGCAGTTACATTTTAATCTCAACATCATTTTTACGTTTATTATGTTTGTAAAATTGTACATATATATACCCACCAACAAAAAATGTAGAACATCAAATTTCATGAAAGATACATGTATATGAACACCATTGATAAATATTAGGCATTTTCGAGGAGGGAAGTCGTTTGGATGTGATGGATAAGTGAATGGTAGGCATATAAAGAATATTTCACATAAAACTGTTGCTGAAAGGCATGTAAATATATAAATCTATCATTTTAGTTGTATACAAAGTTTTAGTTTAAATCTCTCTGACATACATGTATATGATATTGTGAAAGTTCCTTTAATTGAATTGGGTCCCACCAAGAATTCATCTGTTTCTTAATTTAATAACATATTGTCACAAATTCTCATTCTCCATTATCATGCTTCATTTTTATGTAGTTTATTTACAATGTTGTATCATTTTAAATGTGATTCTAGCCTTTAGCTGGATTCTAATGGGCCACATTGTATGAAATTGTCATTAAAAAGTTTAAAACTACTTTGAAATATGTTCTTTTCTAAAATATATCTCCCATAGCAATGCAGACCTGGAACTCTGTTACCTATCTTCCTGTTTTAATCAAAATGCAGGAGGTAATCTTTTTTTATAATGTCACAATGATATTTTCAAATCCCATATTCAAAGTTGCTTTGAACATGTTTTTAATCTATCTTGGACATGTTTGCAAACTTTGGAGGGGGAAGGAGAGAGGGGTGGGTAGCATTTATAAATAGGTTTGTCATTTCTAAATGAGAGTTATTTTAGTTCTGGGGGGTTAACAGTTAACCTCTATATCTTAAAAATTAAAGAAATAAAAGTTGCAAAAGTAAATAAAAAGGGAAGAAAATTAATAAGATTTTCCTGTGGTTGGTGTATTTGGCAGGGCATAAGGCACACTGTTTTTGTGTGACAGATAATATTGTGTTGAATGAATGGTATACAATTAATGTGTGATGACATTACATCTAATACTGGTACAAGACCTTGGCTTCAATGGCAATGCAATCAACGTCAGTCTAGAAGTGTATCATCTTCTACTTGTCTACGGGTGTTTTTGGTCAGTGTTACACGGATCATCATTGCTGTTGGATAATTGTGAAAATATTTTTCGTTCGAAATAACTCATTTCCATGCAGGGATCCTCGGCCCTCGGAGATTTTTTTTTTCTAAACTATTCAACACCTTCTTGTTATTTATCCATTACATATTGATACAATAAATCCTTATAGATGCCCACGTAAACACTTATGTCTGTTGTGTCCCATTCAAACTCTCGCGTTTTACGGTGGCTCCGGATCGTGATTTGAATTTATATACTAAATAGGAAAAATGTTACGTATGGTAACATACGGTAGTTGGTTAGAGTGGTTGACTTGTTTAGACAGACTGATAGTCAGGCTTACATAAATATTAAAATACATCTCTAAAGATTGAAAATAACAAAGACAGAACAATTCTTTTCAACGCATTTTCTTGCACATTACCTCTATGTACATTATATACATTTTAAAATGAATGTTCCTACTGGAGTTTGATTATTTTCCCCTTGATGTTCTTTTCAATATCCACCCGCTGTTCCGATCTCATCCCATCAGTCTCTCTTTCCCCTGGAGGAAACAGCTACTCTAATCAGTTGTCCAACGATCCTATGTGCCAAGTTTCATTGAACTCGACCGAGTGGTTATAAACAATGATAAAGCAAAGTTCAATCTGTCTTGTCTTTCCGGTGCAATGTTTTATATAGATTTTATTCATCACAATATAAACCTCAGCTTTTTTTCAAACATATTGCAAGAACCAAGCTGGACTGTCAACAAAAATCTCTATTGCATAAATTGCTGTATTCGACGAACGAAGTCCTATGTTGACAATGTTTCAATGAATCGTAAGCTATGGGGTATCAGCATCACAGATATTATATTTTAACTGCGGTGACACTTATACAATGTATCGATTCTCACAATGTCGATCTATATATTAAATCGTAAACACAGATATTCTGACATTAAAGTGGCAAAATCTTGATATCAAATTGATTTAATGCACAATACGTCAATGGAAATTAACTACTGTTTGTAATCGAGAATGAAAACGTTCAGACTATCAATATGTTGTCTGTGTGAATTGTACAGGACACCTTTTCTTTGAAGTAAATCAACATTTTTGTTCCTGATCTTTTGTGCGTTGTCTGTCGTTGTTGATCTTATTGTTAACTCTTCACACACCTCGCCTTCTTTTTAATTCAGAGCCTCATCAACTTTAAGGAAACTCTAAACACTGTACGCTAAAGAGTTCTATTTGTAGGTTAGTTTTATGCCATTTAGAGTTATCTGCCCTTATAGAAATAAGATAACAAAAATTGATTATTTACAGTTAATTACACAATTTATGTAGGATTAAAATATTCTTGACATTATATTTGATTAAAAATAAGTATAATTTATCTGTTGGAAGCAAACAACAGTGATTTCTGTTTACAAATAGCCCACTGTCAGTGAACATTTTTACTGCAGCAATAAGCCAGGTACCCTGTGTTGAAAATGAACAAAATAGTCTCAATATTCAAACCTTGATTTGATATATTTTTATCCAAGTCAAAAAACATTTTTGTTGGCGTCTAGAGCTTCCATAAGTATAGAAGATTTAAATTAAGAAGCGATCGTGTCCCCTCTCCTATATATATAGCGCTTCTACACAAGGGGTGGGGTGTGGAGGTGGTGATGGTAAAGGTAACGACAAGCCCAATAATTTATATGGAGCATTAAATTATAACAATTTCGATACCTCTGGTTCTTATACATTATCATTATTGTAACTTGGTAAAGCATATAAATATTTATACTTTAAAACCTTTTTGATCCTAACAAGTTAACACGGATTGTTAAATACAGAATGTGTTGCAAAAATGCCTGCAGTTGATATCTTCTTGATGCGCCATTAGGTTAAATCTATATTGATTTGAGAGATCACAATGTCGAAGCACTGGAAACAACACGACATATTGATAGACCACCATATAGACTCTATATACTGAAAATTTGATTAATATGCCCCAAACACTGTGATGCCTATGTTCCTGGATATAGATTACAGACTCAAGCCTGAAAATTATACAGTAATTTGGGTATGTTACAGTTATATACGATATCATACTCTGCTACATACTGTAAATAGTATATAACTCCCCAAAATGATATAAACGGTAAACCTGGAAAAAAAGACATAACATAATACACAGTTGAATTTTGGTATCTCAAAGATTAATATCTCGAATACCATGGATATATCGAAGTGATATGGAAGTCGCAACCAAATATTCCATAAAAATATCTGATATCTCGAATCCTTAGATATATCTCAATTTTTCCCAGCGGACTTATGTTGGAGTTCGAGAGAATGTGATTTGACTGTATATCTAAGGTGACTGTTAATGCCCGAGAGACTCTTGTCTGTAAATTCAAAAATTATTCAGACCTATATAATCTTCCATAATTGAAAACTATTTGTCACGTGAACTAAAAATAATTTTGCCTCAAAATTCAATTTACAAAAAATTGTTAAGCTCGCCATGAGGTGCGGGTACAAGCCTGTTCAAAGCTTAGGTTATGATGTAGGTGGAACAAAAGCAATGATTAATTTTTCCCCAGTTGAATTACTATAGTATCAGTATCAAACATCTGTACATGCATATATAAAATACGATGTTTAGTATAAAATGCAGGCTTTCAAATTAAATTGAAACTGTGACCAAAATCCAGAGTAAGTTTGTGGATCAGGGATCTTCTATCACACAGACACATAGGTTACAATCGACATCACCCCCTCCAACCCAACTCTTACTCTCTTGAGAAAGGATGACCAGGCACAAATAAGGTTTTAAAAACTGCAAGTATTTGTTTTCCACATTCTGAATCATGGTACATGTATATATGCATAAAGATCCATGACATCGATTGATACACATGTATATGTATCTGGAATTGACAGAATCGGGGACCCAGTTTCATGAGACCCAATTCAAGCAGTAGGGGCCCATTTCTTTTGCTAGGTCAAAAAGGGTAACCTTTAAAGAAATACATAAAGTTTCACCAAATATTGATTTTACTCATATCTTGCTCATACACAAGAGTGGATCTCGGAAAGGGAGAGGTTTCCTGCATGAGAGTTCCAAACTTTACCCTTTGTGCAGATTACACCCCCCTCACACACAGTTCCTAAACGATCATGTCGCCTTTCATGTGGTGGAGTTTTCCTCGCAGGTCCCTGGTCCTCCTTAAACATGCCACCGAATGCTAAATTCTCAAACTAATTTGAGTTTTTTTTTATTCTGTTATTTTTGTTCACAAAGAGAACCCAATAAATTCTTTTCTGTAAAAGGTAATTATTTTTCGTTTGGATTAAAATAAAAACTGCAAATTTTACGTACTTTTCACATCTAGTTTAGGAGTTTGTAGACAGCGGCGGATCCGGGAATCTTGGAGGGGGTTGGGGTCGGTGTATGAGTCCATGCACAACCACACAATAAAATGATTTATTAAACCTTATGTATATTTTTGACACAATGGGGGTGGGGGTGGGGGGCTGACCCCCTCTAAATCCGCCAGTGGACTAGATAATTCTTTAAGAAAGGTCATAATAAAATATGGATTTAAACCAATGAAACTGCATCGAGATAATATGAAGAATATTTCATTATCTGGCATAATTTTAGGGGGAAAAAAACCGAGCCACGAGTCAATTTATATGGTTTTAACTCAAAATCATACAAAAAATAGAGGAATGACTCTTTGATCTCCATAAACTCTTCAAAACTTTTGCCCTCGCCCTGTGAGATATTAATTAACTAAAACATGCTAAAGGACATATCAAAATATTTTTTATAATTTTGAACAAACCCAATGTCTGTGATTGAATTTCCTTTTTATTCTTCGGGCAGGTGTTTAAACTTATTTTGCAGTTATATTAGTCAATAAATTCACAGTCACCAGAAAAAAAAATCACAATCAATCACAAAATTTTGCCGCCAAATATATTTAACCCCCCCCCCCCCCTAAAATTGTATGCCTACAACTTGTAGATCCGCGCTTCATACAATCACCTAAAGTGTGTGTATTAAAATATTTTCATCAGTATATTTCATCTAATAAAAATCTTTACGTTGTAAATGTGACAATACATCTTTCTATATTGCGCTTTCCTTTTTTGGAAACTCGCTCATGCATAAAAGAAATAACATTTGTTCAATGTCGTGCGCGGCCCCGCATCAAGCAATCTGACACACAAGTAGTAGAACGCTCAGTCAAAATGGCTGATAACGGGGAAGACGGTGTATCGAAAGGTGTGCACAGGCGTGGAGCTTTAAGGCAGAAAAATGTGCATGAAGTGAAAAACCACAAATTTGTTCCTAGATTTTTTAAGCAGCCGACATTCTGTAGTCACTGCAAGGATTTCATTTGGTACGTGATTTTGTTTGGCACCCATGCTCGTAAATTCGATGCTATTAGTTTTGCGGGAGTATACAATATTACCATAGATGACAACTGCTATTTTTAGAAATATCCAATGTTTTGATCCTTCAAGAGAGTTGATTAGAATCTCTTCTTTATTTTAGGGGCTTTGGGAAGCAAGGTTTTCAGTGCCAAGGTAAGAGATTTTTAGTTATTTATTTTTTTCAAGATTTGGGAAGCTGATGATGAAAGCATGTATCATGTAATCGTTTCTTTCAGTGGTATATTTGGAGAAAACCCTCTAAATATTTATCATAGGAGTTCACAATGTCTAAATACTAACATAGTTTATTACTACTTTCGGAATAGAAAGTAGTAATCATTTAAAAAACATTTTTTTTTCACAACTGCTCAAGTTTTCCAGAAGTGTGTTTTCAAGGGACATAACTCTTCCAGTCTGCCAGAAGCTATCTTTGAGTTAGTGTAATTTAGGGCCCATTACCAAAGATCAGAGAATGCAAGAACACTGCAGACAGTTTGTAGATATTTGATATTGATGCACTTGCAAATTATTTGCATTCTCACACACCCACATAGTTCCTGGAATTCAATTTATCAGGCTTGCAATCACAGAAATTTTAAACGGGGCAATCAAAACCTTAACAAGGATACAACCTAGAAGATTCAATGACAATTGACTGGTTTATTACATAGATATAGAAACCCAACTGTCATTTTGAAACCAACTATAATCATTAAGGGATTCAATATCCTCTAATATGACAATGATATGAATTCAATTAAGTGTCACAGATGTTTTAGTGAGATTTCATGTTTAGTTATTGTATCAGCACAGATGTTATTTTGAGAGATTTTATTTTTAGTGAAGTATGTTGCCAGGCAATCAAACCAGAAAAAATCTTAATCAGGTCCTTAAAATAAAGATTTTTTTCAGTTTATTTATTGATGTACCATATTGTTTTCATTCTGAGAAATGAGAATGGGGGCCTCTTTGAAAATGTCTGTAGGTAAAATTGTGTGTGTGGCAGATGAAATTTATTGTGATGAATTATCATAAATGTGACCTAAAGTAGAAAAATAAATTAGAGACTATTTATAATGTAATTCATATTCATACTTTTTTGTGTCAAAGATGTAAACATTATGTACATATATTGATAAATGAGAACCAATTAAGAAACTTTTTTATTTAAAAACTCTCCTGGATGTCCTAAATTACCATATGAAAGTGTTTGGTTTTAAATTCTCCCAGTAGAATTAATTACCGAATAAAGGCAATTAAATCAAAATTTTATAGCTCTTACCAAAGTTTGAGACCAAGAATAAATAGATACACATTGTATTAAATTATTTTGAAATCTTTGGGTGTTGATTTAATTTGCTAATTATCTTGAAAGTTTCAACTAGGAAAAAATCTATATAATTTATATATAAACTATGTTTATGGTTATTCTGTAACAAGGTGTAACAAGCCATCTTGACTTAGGAAGAGAATGTATTAATACACTACACTTCTCATCAGCTTGAACATATGTATAAGGAGAGTCGATTTCCCATATTCGTAGTACTTTTATTTTTCTCACCTTACATTTCATTGTCTGGACGTGTTTGAGACAAGATAAAAAAACCAATTGTGGTAAATCCACTCTTTCTTTTTTTGTATCAGGTGCGTCATTCATTTCAGCTGTAAGGAAGACTTTCCTGTTTTTCTGTGTACAATAAGCAATAAAAAGCCGTTATTACTCGACTGCACAGGTGAAAAGAAACAATCATTAGTAAATACCATGGCATGCTAGTAATATAATACACATCTATATGTTAATTATTAATTAATAAACTGAGCAAGAGTGACAAAGCCTAGGTAGTTAGAAAGTAATAACATTTATGCTCGGGGACAAAAGAGGGATGTCATCGTGGAGTTGTAGTGTCCCATTATTGCCTTACGTCAGCCCTTAAGTATGTATTACTAGACTGGCATAAAAGAGTGACAGCATAATAATACCCCTATAGTCTAGATGTCTGGAATTTCTCACAAGAGTTCAGAGAGTTTACGAGGCACAATGTTGGTAAACAATGTTATATATACTTGCATTATCTACAACTTTACCGTGGTTCAAATAACAAGTAAATTTTAGGGTTCTAAGGGGGGCGTTTCTGTCTTATTTCGATGGGGGAACATATTTTCTTTGAAAAATTGAGAAATGATCGGGGAAAAAATATTACTGAATGTACAGGGTTTTTCATACAGACGAGTAATATGGACAAGTAATATAAACTGCTACTGATGTGATTTTATCCAGGAAGGAAGAAAAATAAAACCCTAGAACAAATCTCTCTCTATAGTTTTCAAGTGTCAACATCCCCATTTCTCTAAACCCAGTCAATCTTGATAACACTGTGATTTTCTCATGTGCAGGCTTGAAAAATCTGTGTTAACTATCTTGTCTCTCACTTTATCTGGGTTGTGTGTTTTTCAGAAAAAAAAAAATTAAGTTGTCTGTGCAGTTTCCTTTGATGTGGCTGTACCCATGACCAATGAGGGCGTGCTTGTAGATAACAACACATTTTGTGTGCATTTCCTCATTTTGATATTTAGTTCAGCTAAAGTCCTTGAATTTTGTCCCATTTTTATAAATTATTTTATTGAAATATGCAATTTTATTTTGCCTGAATCTAAAAACTGGGTGTGCCGTGTGCAATATAAATTTTCAGCTCTTAAAAAGAAACTATGTATTTTACGTAAGAATGTCAGTTTTTTTTTTTTAGGAGAAGTGTGATTTGTTTGAGCAATTTGCCATTAATACAGGCAAGTGAATTATCAATGTAAACACAAAGCTGGCATAAACCTTTCCCTTTTGGCTCTATCAGTAATTACTATAATGCTATTTGACCTTCCCACTTGGTACTTAGAAACTACCACACAAGAATCTAATAGAGAGAAAAAAAATCTGTACTTTGTTTGTGCTCTGTAGAATGAGAAAAGAGCCCTTATAATTTCATTTGCATATTGCATTTCATCTACTTAAAATAAGATGAATAATATATTATGACACCGAAAATGATATTTGTGAGATGTTGATAAAGATTGTTACATCATCAAGAACTTTATTCCCTAAAGATAATTTGTTACAGTATGATAATGAAACCAACAGAGAAGAGACATTTTTACGATATTAGATATTTTCAATATTTCCCTTAATTAACATTGATGTGTAGTGTGCAAGAATCACTGGCATATTTAGGGGGTGGGGCAGAGGGTCCACCCCCACCCCTTTTTGTAACCCAAAATTTAGTAAACAAATAAAAAAAATGAAGAAAGCTGCCAGACCCCTGTCCTGCTATGGCCTTTATTTTCAAGAATTGAAAATAGAGGGAAAAAAGAAGACAATGGTTATTGCATATGTGTTCAACTGATACAGTTCAACCTTTTCATGGGCTAAAACGATTTGTCCATGTCTATTACACACTATGAATGTTTCACCATGTACCAAGATCATCTGGGGATGGAGAAAGGAGACATTTGTCCAGATAATAACTTTGTAATGTACAGATTATTAGGATTTGACATTAACTTTTATGGGTAGGAGACCGGTCAGGCTACTTCCTATTATCTTTACTACTGACTGACAATGGATGAAGCCATTGTGACAGCTAGCTAGCACCTCTTTGCCTATTACAGTCATTGTACAGACTAAAAATAGCTGTTATTTCATGACAGAATTTTCCTTTACAAGATGATCCACAAATAAGAAAATTTTACTAAAATGTGCTTAATTATCCATTTTAACAGTTGGTCTAGTCATTACAAACCAGTTGAGCTATAGTGTCACCAGAGACTTATTAATTTGAAAAAAAAACCTTTAGATTTGACCAACTAATTTGGAAAGTAATGCCTCAGGGATGAAAGATTCATGAAGCTGACCATAATCTTTTAGAAAATGTTTCCATATTTGATGTGAATTCCAAATAAACTTAAACTACTGGTAGAGGTACTTTGAGCACTGAGCACACTAAATGATACCCCCCCCCCCCCCCCACACCTCCCATATGATTATAATGGCAAAGCTCATGTTTTGCCCTGAGAGACCCAAAATAAATGTCAGATCAAAAAGTAAAGTAGGAGGTCACAATTGCATTACGTTCTAAAGAATCTGTGAAAGTACCATAAAATCTTATTCAGTGGTAATAGGAGGAGTTGCGGATAAGAGATGGGTACCCTTCTATATAATAGAAAGAATAGCCATGTCCATGTTTTGCTATGGGAAACCCAAAATATGTGTCGAATCAAAAAGTAAAATAGGAGGTGAACAATGGCACTAGGTAACAAAGAATGTGTGAAAGTCTCATTAAAATTCATTGAGTAGTATAAGAGATGGGTACCCACCAAGTGTAACAGACGGATGTACAGACAGACGGATGGACATCAAGATCACTATATACCCTGCCATTTTTCAAGGGGGGGGGTATATAATAAATATTGTTGCATCAATTGTGAGCTGATTTGATTTGCTAGTATTGATTTCAAAGATCATTTTCTCTTCTTTGGATCTTTCGTCTGTGTCTGCAAAAAAAAAAGAAAAGTTCTTCCAATTTTGATAATACACCTAAATTTGTTTTTAATGGATGCCCTAGAGAATTTGGTTAAATAGGTTGCCTTTCTTAGCAGTTTGTGAGAAGACAAATTTTCTAGCACTAATTTTGTTTTTCATTGCATCTCCTAAAATTTCTTGTTTGGTGGAAATTGTTGATTTTGATAAGAATTCTTTGATCATGTTCTCTTAAGCATTTTATTGTTAAGTGAAAAATCTATTCATAAGATTTTTCTCCACAGAACTTGACTTGTTACTTAAAAAAACTGAAAGTTTATATACATGTATTTTACATGTTTACACTTGTCATCTTATAAGAATTTAAGAAGGATGATACAAGTATGTTCTATATATACTGGTACTTTTAAACATGTATATATTTGAAAATATTAATTTTATTTTCAGAAGAGCATATTCAAATTTCAACTTTACAAAGAATTTTTTTCTGCAGATGTTAATTTAATTTTCAACTCGTCAAGCTTTTTAGCCACTGGTATCAAATTCAGACTATTTTTGTAAACTGTTGCTATAAAGAATTAAAGATGGTCAAGTTTTTGTGCTTTCTGAGAAATTCATCATAGCGGATTACTCTTTCAGATTAATAAGTCTGGAGGTAAAATCTTTGACTTTTGATCCATATTTTCTGCATTAAAGCTTACTTTAGACAAAAAAGTCAGATAGTCTACAAAGGCTATACAAGAGAAATTCAAGAAGACAAATTATATTTTTCTAGAGACTGTCAATTGTTCCTCAAAACATGCCATTTTTTATGACATTGAGAAGAGCTCAAAAGTCATACTATGGAGTATCATATCTGAATTCTGCACCAAAATTACGTAACCAGAGGTGTCAGTCAATGCTTCTGTAAAAGAAAATAGCAATTCTTTAAAAATGATTGAACAAAAGCAAACTTGCAGTCTCCAAATCTCTTGCAAAACGGAGATAATTTATTTATTTTACACAAGAAAAATGTGATGTAGAAATTGTTTGCAGGTGAATTTCTAAAAGGTGCATCAAATATCATGAATATATTACCATAACTTTTTGGAAGGATACCTTTATGCAAAAGAAAATAACCCATCAGGATGAAATTCACAAAATTAAATTAATGCAGATGTTAGAAGTCTATATAAGCATTGAAATTTAAACTTCAATCGATATTTTTACAATAAAATAAAAATCAAGAAAAATGAGTTAATTATTCAGAACCTGTATGTCTGCTTCATTTTAACCTTGTTCTATTCAGACCATGGCATAAAGCCCTTAAACTATAAGACTGACATTTAGTTTTCAAACCCTAAAATTTTGCATTTATTTCAAAAGAACTTTTGGAAATTGTTTTACCATGTTCAATTCCATAGAAGCCTCTCAGGCATCTGATTTCCTTTCTGTTGTCAGCTATAGTTGGAATTTTTTTTTTCTATGCTCAAGAGCTGTTAGATTTGATCTGACATAACCTTTTGTTTTTTTTCCAGTTTGCAGTTTTGTGGTACACAAAAGGTGTCATGAATTTGTTTCCTTTTCCTGTCCTGGAGCAGATAAAGGACCTGATTCTGATGTAAGTATTTATTGCACTGCATTCACAAAAAGGAATTTTTTACATTCGACCTAAATACAGGCAAACCTTGTTGTCTTGAAGTCGATGGGACTGAGAAAAAACTTCAAGATATGCAAGTATTCGAGATATTGAGGGTAAAATACTTCTATCATAAGTGGTTGGGACTTCTTAGTTACATTGACATGTCCATGGTATTCGAAATACCAGTTTTCAAGATAATGAAGGTTGAACTTTATAAATTTTTTTTTTTGCACTTATGTCAGTTCATATCTGTTGAAGAGAAATTGGCTCTTGTTTTAGTGTTGGGCTGAAAATTTGTTTTTGATGAGATTTTCAGAAACTTGGTTGAAAAAATGTTAGAATTTTTTGTCTTTTCAGAATTTCGTTTAGTTGTATTCATTATAAATAGCTTTTGATCTTGCCAGTAGAAATAAACCATCATACCCATATTTGATCAAAGATAAAAATTCAGCTTTGAATAGATTAATAGTGCTTTGTCTGACTAAATTTATAGAAAAGAACTATCATATTTGCCCTGTTAAGTGCCTTTGCCCTCATAGATGCTTTCCTTAACTGTTTGAAGTTCCCCCATTGGGTAATTCACTTGATATGTTTACTGATACATTGCTTGATCAGCTAACAAACTTACTGTCAGAAATATAACTTCTCTTCTGTTTTATTGGGCAATTTTCAATGTAGACCTCTCTATATGCCTAAGATTTTGTAGGAAGAATATGGATTGTCGTTGTTTTTTTGGATGTATGGTTTTGTTTGATTAAACAGAAATCAATTTGGCTTTTGTTTCTCCATCTCTTGTCATGTGGATACATAACTGGGCTGTTGTACTTATAGCATGTTATCAAAATGTGCATCTTCAGTCAACGATGACAATACCCATCATTACCATCTTCTCTGCACAACAGATTTTTTTTTTGGTCCAGGGAACATTAAAACAGCATCTCTCTGAAAGAAATACACCAAGAAGTATGCAAGCCCCAGTAGGAATAAATTATTGACCATTTAACAAAAACATTTTTAAAGATTAAAAAAAGGATTGTGCAAAGAAAAATATCATTAACTTTATTTTGCAACTCCTTGAATGTTGACAGTGCGTACAATGTTTAAAAACATAACGCAATACTCCAGTACTTGTCCTCCCCTGAAGCAATCTCCTTTTCGTCACTCCATACTTGAATTTGTTCGACCCTTGGGTAATTGGTTAGATTCACTGTTGGTGATTTTGCTTCATTCTGGTAATGATGTTACTAGGAAAGCAATTCTTCTGGGTACTCAGAGTTGAAAATTTATGTGTATAATTATGATACAAAATTTACTAGTAATAGATATTTAACAAAAACGTGTTAATCAGTGGTAAAACAGCAAGCAAGGGAATAAATGATTGTTTAATTCTGCCTTATAAAAAATTTACTGATTAAATTTGAATGCTTCAATTGCACTGTATATATTAGACAGGGGGGAAAAATGAAATGGAAATTTACAGTTGTCATGATTATTGGAACAAAAAGTGTTATATAATGGTACCATTTCCTCCCTCTTTATGATTTAGGCCCTTAGCTTTTGGTTTCTTTTATGTTTTTTCTTTTATCATCGTTTTATGTCTAAAAGTTAGGGTACATGTTATACAATGCCTAGATTCCAATATTGTCAGTATGGTCTTGTACTCTGAAGTTTCAGTCCATCCAACCTTCCGTTAACATTTCTGCTAAAAGATCAAAAATGATCATTACTGGCAACAGAATCATTTATGTCTTGTATTGCAAGAAATTATAGGACTCTGGAAGGGTAAATTGACATATTTTCAAAGGAAAATTGAGTCTTTTTTTTCTATATTAAGAGTATTTATATTATTTTTCTCATTTATTGTAGACCTATGTGTCACTATTTCATTTCTACTCCTAAAGGATTGCTATTGGCTTAATTATCTAAGATGACCCAGAATTCAGGATCCGTACTTTGATTTTTTTCAATAGTACAGATAACTAAGATCATCTGCAATAGAGATAATTATAACAAATATTGGTGATTCTGGTTTTGTTGAGCAAAATTGTTTACATATTGATATGAAGATTTTTTATTGACCTCTAAGTGTATTGTGCAGTAGCATTATAATCATGCAGCAAGCAAATATAAACTACTACTAGATTGTTTAAAAATTTGCTCATCAGCAAAGTTTGTTATAATGTTCAGGAAGCAGGAAGTCTGTTGAGGTGATGAAAAAATCGGGGAAAAAAGAGATAGAAATCAAACATAGAGATAAATCTAGAGAAAGAGATAGAGATGAAATCAAACCTAAAAATCTCTATCTCTGTGCTGCAACTCTTGGCTGACTTGCTTTCTGAGTTATTCAACCCTTTTTACATGATGCTTCATGTGGAATCAAAAATCAAGCTATTTATTCATGCAATAATTATATGGATCACAATTTCAAGTCATACATCTTTGAGGATACCCCCCCGCCCCACACACACACACACACTTTAGAAGTAAATAAATAGTTTTTTAAAAAGGGAAGGAAGAAAAGATCATATTAAATATTCTGAATTTTGGCCCCATTTATTGTTATTTTTAGAAATTATTTATTTAAATTTTGGTTTTACCTTTACAATTGATGTTTAAAATGTCTGTATTGTACACGAAGTTCATTGTTTCAGAATTACTGCTTTGTCAACGTATTTAGGTTTTATTACTTTTAATAATCCATATATACAACCGTGAGGTAAAATTTTCTTCCTGTCAAATTAAAACAGCTCATTAACATAAAATCTGAATAAAGTGTCATTTCTTGGCATGAATGTGTAAATTGGGTCATATTTTGTACTGGTTTCAAGGTCACTTTGGCAGAATATTCGTTCCGGCATAGTTTTCATTTTGAGGAATAAAAACATTGATATGAAAATTGTTATGCTAGATCATTTTAATATCTATATACATGTATGTATCACATTGTTTTGTCACTTGAGGAAGTTTTTATGATGTACTTTACTTTGCTGACATAAATATAGGATGTTGTATCCACTAGGACTTAAAGTGCAGTTTTACTAACATTACCATAGAATATGACTGAATCTACACAATACTGAAATCTAATTGTGAGGGAAAAACTACTCAGAAACTCATAGAAGCAGCAGCCAAAGTACACATTAGCTTTCCTCATTTCAAGAACAAATAATGATCAAACAGTAGTACAGAAAGACCATTTGTGAAGATTACATACTTGGTGGCACAGTAATTTATTGTAGTCACCACAAATTCTGGAGTTGGTGACAATTCAATTGTTAGCTATCACCCATTTTCTATGTATATATATGGTCAGAAGTTTGAGACTAGGCATTCTGACATTGATTCCCAAAGGAACGTGATGTATTTTCAAGTAATTAAGCACATCCCTTAAAGGACAAGAGAGGGGATCCAGTTAAGAAACAATGAACTTCATTATCATGGAAATGATATTTGATATTTAATATTGATTGTCAAAGCAATTTTCAGTAGTTTTGATTGATAAAGGAAAAGCAATCAGATTTGGGGGCTATTATGGAAGATATTTATGGTATATGCTGTTGAGCATAGAACATTGTATTGGAAGAATCTATACACCCTGCGAACAATATGCTGATGGTCGGATTAAAAAAAGAATATCTGCGTAGAGTCAACTGTAAAGAACCCCGAGTTGAATAGATTAGTGAATCAAGCTATTGTCTCAGCCGCCGGAATCAATAGCAAAAATTATTATCCAGGGAAATTTACGTTTTCCTGCCTGTGTATCAGAAAACGGTGTTCCGCTATCTGAGCATGCTCGTGATGGAGCAACGCTTTCCTTGGGGAGATTTTTTTCCTCGTTTTAAGATTTAATTCTAATGTAAAACGTGGGCTTGGCACCTGCGCAGTGAATGCAATAGGACTCTCGGGTTGACAAATTTCGTTTCTTACAGTGTCAAAGCAATGTGCAAATGATTTTTATGGCTCCTTATTTCTTTGAATCGTGATCAAGAATCATGCAGAAGTACTGGTGCAGTTTCTGTTACTGAATAAAATTATCCTCCCTAATGATCTAATGTATTTTTTTAAAAGCTTATAAAGGTTAATATCCAATTCTCACTCATAAGGTCAAAGATCAATGTTTTTCAAATGACATTGGAATGTTGTACACAAAATAGATAGCCTTATTTAAAATGGTATAAATATAGTGTACCCCCCATCAAATCAGTTCAATCTGTTTAATGGAAATGAAGGGGTGCCATGGCTGAACATTAAAGGATAAGGCTCGTACCATAAAGGACTGTTATCGACAGGGCCAATCATGTAATTGTTCTGATCAGAGGCACATGTATTTGAGATTTCTGCTGATACCACATCAATCTGATTCAGTTAACAGAATAAATCAATAGAAATTTTATTCCAAAGCCTCAGCAGCTAAACATGTTTGTTGAAACATCAAAGACCATCTGAGTACAGGTCTACCATATACCATGGTACATAAGAGAAAAAGCAAGTGCTCGTTTACCATAATTGTCATCAGAAATGTTTACAAATCACAGAAGGGATTACCGTCTGAACAATGTATGCAAATGCATCTGAAATCGATGATCCCAGATTTTTTTTATTGCTGGTATTTTTTGTCTCCATCATATTCCGATAGGTTATACTAATGTGCGAGTGTCAGGAGTAAAAATTTGGTATTTGGCACTCGTGACAATGATGTTTCTCTGTGGGGGTTTGATAAATATCATGCTTTTATGTGCCAGGATGAAAAGAGACAAGATACATTTTTTTTCCGCCACGGAGTTATTGATTCCTCATTTGACAATTGGAAACTGGAGACAAGTCATCAAATTCCATAACATATTGGTTGTAAATGAACAAAAATCGGTGTTAAATTGCCTCCTGGTACCAAGCCTGAGTTGGAGTATGCATGGCTTAATTGATCATGCAAAGAAAGCCCCCCTAATGCTCCATATCAATCCATAATCACCAGATAGCAT